AAAGAGTGTTGCAATGATTGGTGATAGTACTTGTGACGCTTTTTGTATATAAAGGGTGGTAAGGTATTTAAATCTCCTGCCTTGTTTTTCAGTGCGTTGATAATAAGGGAGACTTCTATATAGAAAGCTGCTTGTTATGCCAATGCTGAGCATTTCGGGCAAATTAGGTCAGTTTTGTGCCAGGATGCAACCCACACCCAGGTACCCATTTTACTGATTAGGAACATAGACAACCGGTTGTAAGGAAACACGACTAAGTTTTTCCCGGCGGGAATCAACCCGGATCCTCACCGTGTGAAGCGAGAGTGTTCGCCACCAGACCACGGGCCAAGCTAGTTTAATGATCGGAAAACTGGACGAGAAGGAGATCCCAGATCCTGGTACAGAAAATAACCTAAACACTTTTAAACTTACGTTTAACTTAATCAAACTGGATGAAAAAAAAATCTGAGAACTCTAGTTAGCAGAAATCTAAAGTCAAGCTCATCACTTAGGTCATGCGACCTTACGTAGGTCATGCGACTTCACATAGGTCACATGAAGCTCTAAACCCTTGCGGGTCATTCATCGCAAGGTGTGGTGGAGGCTTCAGTCGTTCTCTGCCACCAGATCCATAAGAATGAAAGGGCACCGCAGTAGGCCTTATAGGCCTCTGACTTATGCCAGTCAGAACCTTCTCAATACCAACACTTTTCTAAATGACAGACACACAAGTTGCAATAACTGGAAACTTCACCTAGGCAGTATTTCGCCTGTGCAACGGCCTTTCGAACGGGCGAAACGTAACCTACATACAATTTCCGGACACTGTGCCCATCATTCTCAACATGGTATTTCCGTACCGTCTCAATACCAGACTTTTTTTCCCTCTTATATTTTATCCTACCTATTTTTTGAAGGCTCCACAAATACACTACTTGACAGCCACTGTGAACCTAACCAATTACCACAAACAACTATCACGTAGAAGTATACATCCCTACCAAAAGCAGTATTACCCTTCACCAAATTGAGGCATTCTCATACTGTAAACTACTGTAAACTACTCTTGAACCATGTTTCATAAAAAGCATTTTTGAATATATGAATATATCCGTGCTTGTAAAAATTAGATTCACTTATTATTAATAGAACTACTGTACAACTATAATAAATTTCTTTAGTGTTAAGTAGTCAGTAAGCCATTAAATTAAGTTGGCCCATAATGCCTAGGCATAACAGAGGCTCTCTTTGCACTGTAACCCTTTATTGTAAATACATAATATCAATGTACTAGACATGAGGCTCTCTTTGCACTGTAACCCTTTATTGTAAATACATAATATCAATGTACTAGACATTTTGGGGGCCCCGAAGCTTGAACTGTTATAGGGGGCCCCTTCGCAACCCCTTCTCATACAGTAGACCCAAAAAATTTAAGAAATGTGGACTGAAGTTGTTTTCGTTGCCCCTGCGGGATTAGAGGCCCTGAAGCTTTAGATTCATTAGTTTCACAGTAAGATCCGCCCCTGACAGTAGGTCGTGACAGGATATTATCACACGAAACAGTTTTATATAAAAGTTATATGGCAGCGTCCGTAGCTTGAGTGAAAATAAAGGAATATTTAAACAGGAAGCTGAGAAGTAAAATAACTACTTTTATGATAATTATTTATTGGTAAAACAACCTACGATGTGTTAGGTTAATGGTCACATGTGCTACTATAAAAAACAAAAAATTTACTACGACTATGTTTGGCTCACCAGGAACCTGGTGAAAGCTCCTGGTGAGCGGAAAGTAGCAGAAGTAAAGGTCATGATAGCTACAGACGGATGCATTTACTACTCATCATCGCTTCTTCTGTAGTATCATAAATTTCTTGAGTGCTCAATACAATAGTACAACTTGACTTTAATTCGGGCAAACTACTGTAAGTGGTTGTTTTTGTTTTGTGTCGAGGTGTGAAGTTTTGATATGGACATATTATTAATACTTAGTTAGTTGTTATGTCGAGCAATGAAACTCCACTTAGGTTTAAGTTCCTGGGTGTGTGTGTGTGTGTGGGTTTATTTTCTTTTGGATTGGGGCACTTTGATATTTTTTTGTTGGATATTCAAAAAGTCACAGTTTGTTCTCGGTCGTGTTTTTATTGATGGTTCTGGACCGCTGTGGGGATTTGGGCGTAGTTTTTAGGTTGTTTTACACTAAATTTCTGGTTGTTTTGTAGCGTGTTGATTTCTCTTTATTATTTTGGATTGGATAGCTTTGTATTATTTTATTTTTTGGTTGGTGTCGTAATCTTTATCTTGGTTTTGCTTTTGACTAACATTTCTGTTCTTACGTGTCTTGGGGGGGTTTTTATCTCGGTAGCTTGTGGGTGGGGGGGCCGGGGTCCGTGTCAATATGGGGGGGATGATGAATAAATGATGACATAATAATGAATATGTGATAATGATGAATGATGATGAATAGAATGATGAATGATGATGAATACATGTTAATGATGATGAATGATGGATGAATAATGATGAAATATGATGAATGATGATGAAATGCTGATGAATAATGATGAATAGGATTAATGCTGATGGAATAATGATGCATGATGATGAATAATGATGAATGATGATGAATGATGATGACTAATGATGAATAATGATGACTGATGATGAATGCTGATGAATACTAATGAATAATGATGACTTAATGATGACTGAAGATGACTAATGATGCATGATGAAGACTAATGGACTGACTGATGAGAATGATGTGGAATCCTGGATGAAATAATGATGACAAGATGATGAATGATGCTGGACATAAAGATGACTGCATTATGCTGCTGATGAACTAATGATGAATAATGATGACTGATGATGACATACTGCTTCATTCCTGCTGAATGGAGATCGAATCCGCTGCCACCATGCTGCATGGCTGCTGACATGCATGATGCCAATCTGATGACACTACTTCATGCCTGCTGGATGGAAAAATGAAGCCACACTGCAGGCCTGGCTGATTCTAATGGACTTCCGCTGCTTGCTGCTGCTTGCATCCAGCTTCACTGATGGCTGACTCACTGCTTCACCTGGCTATCATCCTGCTACCGATTCTTCACCACCTGTCTTGCTCCATAGCCTTAAGCAGCGTTCAAGTCATCCTCCTGCTACCTCCTGCTTCCCAGTTGCATCCTCCTTCTTCCTTAAGCTGCCCTCCTGGCTTACTACTTGCTGAACTCTTCATCTTGCACTTCTTCCTGCTTCCTTCAGTCTTACACCAATCTAACCACCAGCTTCTGTCTCCATCTTACCTTCTATCAGCCTACCATCTACCACCGCTTCCATCAGCATCCTCCATTCTTCTGCTTCTGTCACATTCTTCACTCCTTCTTCTGAGCTACATACTTCCTGCTTTTTCCACCTTCAACCAACCTCTATCACATCATCATCCCTCCCTCTCCTTCTTCTGCCACCCAGTTCCTCTTATCCATCAGCTCCTCCCTTGTTCCTTTTTCATCCTTCATAATTCTCCTTAAAACCTACATCCAACCTGATTCACTTTCATCATCATCCTCATTCACATATTTCATCCTCTACTTCCACCTTAATCCTTGAGTCTATCCTCCTTCATCCATCATGCATCCTTCTTCATCACATCATCCACCAATCAACCTTCATTCATCCTCCATACATTCCACCATCATAAACACATCATCCACATCATCCACCATCATCCATCTCATCCATCATCTCACTATCATCCACCATCATCCATCAATCATCCACCATCATCCATATCATCCACATCATATCCATCATCATCCACCACCATCCCCATCAACCATCTTCATCCACCAACATCCACCATCAACCCCCATATCCATTATCATTCATTTCATCCACCATCACCCACCATCATTCATCATCATCCACCATCATCCATCATCATCACCATCATCCACCATCAACCATATCATCCATCTCATCCACCATCATCCACCATCAATCCACCATCATCACCATCATCCACCATCAACCACCATCATCCATCATCATACACATCATCCACCTCAACCACCATCATCCCATATCATCCACCATAACCATCATCATCCACCATCATCCATCATCATCCATCATCCAACCCATATCCACCATCATCCACATCAAACCCACCATCATCCACCATAACCACTGTCAAACCACATCATCCTCCATCAATCACATCATCCCACCATCAAACAACTATCGACCACCAAACAAAACCCACCATCTCCACCATCAATCACCATTCTTCCACCATCAACAACTATCGACCACCAACAACCACCATCATCCCACCATCAACCACCATCAACATAAACACCAACCACCATCCTCCACATTAATCACTATCAACCACCATCATCTATCATCAACTACCATCAACCACCATCAACCACCATCATCCACCATCAACTACCATCAACCACCATCAACCACCATCATCCACCATTAACCCACCTTAACCACCATCCTCAACCATCATCCACTATCAACCACCATTAACAACTATCAACTACCATCAACCATCATCCACCATCAACCACTACCTAAGACTAGATTCATACTACATTTTGTCAGACATAAAACGCGCTAGAGAAGTACATATGTCTCAGCATACAAAAGCTTCGAGTTTAATTTAATCCCAATTTTATGGATTAATGTGTTCTTGATGGTTGGTGAACAACTTAAAACCTGAATGTGATAATACTAGACGATATCGACAAGTTGATTTTCTAAGAGATATGTGCAACAGTTAGGTATCTTTATTCCGCAACGTTTCGCCTACACAGTAGGCTTCTTCAGTCGAGTCCAGAAGAGTGTACAGAAGCAGTAGAGATGTGAAGACGATGTAATCAGTCTATCACCCTTGAAGACGTAGTTTGAGGTTGAATACTGACTACCTCAAACTACGTCCTTAAGAGTGATGGACTGATTACATCGTCTTCACATCTCTACTGCTTCTGTATACTCTTCTGTGCTCGACTGAAGAAGCCTACTGTGTAGGCGAAACGTTTCGGAATAAAGATACCGAACTGTTGCCCATGTGTCTTATTTTTCAATTTACATGCTGCCTTTTTGACCTTTAGCGAGTGTAATCGAGGCTTCATCCTAAATTACACCAAACTGACGCTCTCATTCTGTAGTTGTCTTTACAGTACAAATTTCTTAAGGCGATAATCTTTGGTTATTAGTTTGCTGAATTAATTTTCGCGAAATATTTCAAATTTTAAGACGTTCCTTGCGGTCTGTCTGCTCGAAGTCGCTCCTCAAAAACATTATCGAAATCAGCAAATAAATTAGCAAAGGCGTTTAGGTTTTTCGGGGGATCATTGCCAGGGGAGTTGACAACTGCAACTGCTTCTGTTCTACCTTTATTACCATTCACGTTGTTTTTTGACTGCTTGAAGACAGTAGTGCCAATGGCTCCAGGAGTGTCTATGATTCCAGTGTCAGGACGCTTTCTAAGTGGAATTCCTCCTGCTACAGATGACTGTCTTCTGTGTGAGTTCTCTCTCGATAAATTTACGTCATCCTTAGGGTTGTAGGTATTATAGGGGTCATCAAGGACTTCGTATTCAATTTGGGGTCCTTTGGGCTTGTACGAAGCTGGAGGTGATATGTAGGCTGCTGAGGGAACACTGTACCCTGTTGATGGAGCCTTGTAGTTCGCCGGAGAGGCTGTATATCCTGATTTTGGAGCCTCATAGCTTGGTTTTGGAGTACCATAACTCGGTTTTGGAGAATTATAGCTTTGTATTTGAGTTTCGTAACTCGGTGCATTATAATTTTGCGTTAAGGCTTCGTATGTTGGTGCTTTATAATCAGTCCCCATTGTAGGTTTATAGGCGTAAGATGGTGATCCTTCAGTGTAAACAGAGGTTGGTTCTTTGTGACCTGTGGTAGGAGTCTTGTTGTCTGATTCGTAGTATTGGACACTATGTTGATAGTTTATCTTACCATGCCCGCCACCATGATCGTCACCATAGCCACCTCCACCATGACTGCCGCCACCATGATCACCACCGCCGTATCCACCGCCACCATGATCACCGCCATCATATCCACCGCCACCATGATCATCACCACCGCCCCCATATCCGCCGCCACCATGATCACCACTATCATATCCACCGCCACCATGATCATCACCACCACCCCCATAACCACCGCCACCATGATCACCATCATAACCACCACCACCCCCATGGTCATTACCATAACCGCCGCCACCCCCATGTCCCCCATCTCCATAGCTGCTACCTTTATGATCCCCACCATAACCACCGCCACCATGATCCCCACCATAACCACCGCCACCATGATCCCCACCATAACCACCGCCACCATGATCCCCACCATAACTACCGCCACCATGATCTCCACCATAACCACCGCCACCATGACCCCCACCACCATAGCCACCTCCCCCACTCTGATACCCCGCCGTGCCTCCTCCACCAAAGCCTCCAAAGTAGGCTTGCGGTTGATCCTCATAACCCGCGTGATATTTTGCTTTTTGAGACTCCTTCACCGGATCATCACCATACTTAACCTTCTTGTTAAACTTAGCGTACCCTTTAGGCTGAAAGTCATAGGGACTGTACGCGGGGCCTTTATACGGCGCGGGATAGTAACTCGGGCCCTTATACCCATATACGGGTCCCTTGTGGCCACCACCGTGTTCTCGTGCATACAAGCTGGTGTATGAACTAGTGGCGATGTTTTGGCTGGGTTGTGCTGCACCAACTGGAGCTCTGGCTTTGGTCGGCTCTGTTTCTGTTCCTGTACGAGAAATGTCTTCCTTTTTGCTGCTGGTTAAGGTTGATCGAGGTCTCTGGAGCGTAGATGACGATACTGGGGGACCTTGTGGGCGTCTTGGTGAGTGAGAGGATAAAATTCTGGAAGATATTGAGGTATCTTTCGCTGAGGCTTCTCGAGCAGTTCTGTCTCTCCCGTGGTAACCTGCAAAGTGAATGACCAAAGAATCTGCGTTATTATAAAAGTCCCTGAGATCTTCTGATGTTAAATATATTGTGAAAATTTGTCTGGACTGCCTCCATGTGAGTTGTCTACCCTGACAAGCTCTGTTGACATCGAGCCCTGAGGTCGGTACCTCAGCCTCACAAGTGGCTTATAGGACAGATTTTCATAAATGACTGATGTTACAAGAAATTTCACCTGCATGCACGTATAAAAGACTAACTTACTTGGTATTGGAGAATGTGTCTCGGTCTTCAACCTCCCTAAGCTTTAGTCCCTGTGGACTTTCCCTCAGAACCACGTGCAACCAGGAGCCTTAATTCTGGTCATGAACTGCCGGCTGCACAAAGGCCACAGCACAACTCACTCACAATTTTCCCCAGATACTGGCCAGAATCGAGTAGAAAAAGGGAGGTCTCGTCTTACTGTATGGGCCTGACGGAGGAGGTCATCTACGGTACGTCGAGGTGCCTCCACCAGATTTCCCCAGGTCTATATGTGAAGACACATGAGGGCACCGCCTGCTGATCACAGCACTTGCTGTTCCGATGGTGCCTGGTCTTAGAAGAAAGCACTGCGATCTCAAAACCCCGTGCCCCAGCATTCAAACTTGGGCTGCCAGTTCTCCCTGGCTAACATAACCTAGTGTTTGCCTACATTATCGGCCTATTACTGCCTATGTTAAGGTCTTAGGTCTACATTATTATTATCTACAGTTGCCTCAATAATCCTAATATTAGTGTACTAACAGTATAAACTACCTACTTCTTCCCTGAAGGGTAAATCTATCAATTAAGAAGTCCCTTCCAACCACCTTCGCCAACCCGGGTGTGTGTGTGTGTTTTGGTTGGGTGTAAGGGCCACCCAACCCAGCTGCTTATCTGTGACATGTTGGGATCTTTGTACGCCGCATCTGTCCTGTGGAACTTTTGGACTGAATAAATTTCCACATATATCTTCGAATTTACTTCATAGGTCACTGATATAAGAGACTTACCTGCTGGTGCTGCTGCTGTTGCTGCTGTTGTTGTTGTTGTTGCTGCTGCTGCTGCTGTTGCTGCTGCAGCTGTTGCTGCTGTTGTTGTTGTTGTTGTTGTTATTGTTGCTGCTGCTGCTCGTCGCGAACGTAAATGACCAACATTATTTCTGTTTTGGCAAGAAAGCAAAACCTTTTTCACTTGGTGTGAGAAAAGTTCATGTTTTCTTGCAGAGTTCATGGCATTGATGCATTCCATGACTAATGAAATGTTATTGGTAGTGAGGAAATGAAGACCTTGAGGCTCTTCAGCATTAGACCTTTGTTGAACAGCAGTTACATCTTCAAGGTTAAGTTCCACCTGCAACACGGGTGGCACACTCTCATCTCTTGAATGTTGATATGTATCGGCTGAGCTGACAGTCAGTGCCGCCAACATAACTAACATTCCTGTGAAAATCAGCGCCATCCTGCAGATTAAAAGAAAGGAATTAAGTGTACAATACACTTGCTTTTAGTATACATAACTTCAAAGGTGCACAGTGTATTAATAAGCATAATATTATATCCATCCTTGTTAGTGATGAATAAACAAAAACAAAGAACAATTAGAAGAAATCTTAAGTAAACTGCATCTATCAAGAAGAACATGAGGAGGAGGAGACACTTGAGTAAATAAACACAGGAGAGTGCAGACTGCGTCCAGGTCAGTCACTTTCCCACACCAGTAATGTTGAGTGGGTTTCTCTAGCACAAATGACAGCAGCACTATCACCCAACCTGTCGTTGTAGTAGCCTTGTTACACTCCTCTGGGTTCTTAGGTAATTGTTACACAAACAAGCATGACGTCGTTAGGTAGTGAAGCTAGAAAGTGGAACTGACGCAAAATGCAGTCACTTTAGGACCTGTTGAATGGATTGCAGTTTGTATTTCGTTTTACTGACACATGTACAACCCCTGCGTATCATTATTCTGAAAACGTTTCACCATCCAGGTTTTGCATATATATTTTATTTATCCATTTGTAGGTATTGCATACTACTGCTGCTACCTGTGTTTTTTCACTGCTTGACGGTATCATACATTGTTATATCCAACATTCAAGTCAGAAAGACAAGATTTTCGTGAGATACAATACAGTCTTCACCTTCAAGACCACACCTGACCAGGTCTTGAAGATCACACTCTGTCTGGTCGTCAAGACCACACCTGACCAGGTCTTGAAGATCACACACGGTCTGGTCGTCAAGACCACATACGACCTGGTCGTTAAGCTCACGGTGGTGACCACTCTTCATATAAGGGAAAAACACATAACATCCCGAAGTAGCCTTGATTCAAGAAATCGGAATTACCTTTCCCTTGAATTAAATCAAATTATTCTCCAAGCAATGGATATAAAAATAGCTTTATTACATGACACTATAAACATTACGTCCTACGGCATCAATTACTAAGCCTCGAGTCATTAGAAAGTAATAAATTAAAGTAATCACGCTGTCCACACCACCCATTGTGGCAATACAGTCTTAGATAAACATTATTTTCGTTTGAAATTAGTGTAGCATTTCAAATGACTTGTAGGGTGTTTTCCCTTCAGTGGCTAGGGGAAGGGATGGATTATTATTATTATTATAATCAAGGGGGAAGCGCTAAACCCGGAGGGTTATACAGCGCCTGGGGATGTGGAAGGCATTCAGGCTTAATTCGGGGAACTGGAGCACAGATCCAATTCCCTAAATCAAGAGCCCCTCACCAACATCAAGGAACCTTCCTTGAGGGGGGGAAGGGATGGAGGAAAGACTTAGGTCTTTTGTTAGTCAGAAAAGAGGGCAAGTAACTGCTGAAATGTGTCGCTAGCGAATAGGACAAGTATCTGTTTCCTGATACAAGTTGTCACGAAACAGCCAAGTATCTCCTGGTTCGTCTGATAACAGAACAAGTCCAGGGCGTCAGGAAACAGTAGGCTCCTGACATGGGTTGTCAGGAAACATAGCAAGTGTCACTTGACACACAACACATTCAAGCAAGAAAATGAACGTAGTTAAATTTGAAGCGTAAGGAAGAGTTCGTGTTGTTATTCTTCAGAAATGAAATTTTACTCGATAAACAAGAAAGTTACTTAAAAATCATTAAAACCGATAGTGTGTTTGCAGAGTTTATGTTATATGAAAACTACAGTTATAATTAGAATTACTTGATACAATACTGCAACATAACGAGACTTGATACAATACTGCAACATAACGAGACTTGATACAATACTGCAACATAACGAGACTTGATACAATACTGCAACATAACGAGACTTGATACAATACTGCAACATAACGAGACTGAAGAGATGATGGTATAAAATAGCTTTAATGACGGTTTCACCTGCAGTGTGCGAAACGTCGTCACTGAAGCTTCCATGCAACTGCAGCTGTGTCTATTTATGCAATATTACAACACAAATAATATGCTAATACTCTGCTTAGTTTCTTATATACAGCTGTTATAAAATTACGTTATGTTGCGCATCCCAAACTGTGACTCAGAGTCTTGATGTTCTGGACGATGTTTTATATATTATAAAACATTGTAAATGTATTAGACATTACATGCATGACAGTGTCCTCACATGCATGACAGTGTCCTCACATGCATGACAGTGTCCTCACATGCATGACAGTGTCCTCACATGCATGACAGTGTCCTCACATGCATGACAGTGTCCTCACATGCATGATACTGTCCTCACATGCATGACAGTGTCCTCACATGCATGATAGTGTCCTCACATGCATGACAGTGTCCTCACATGCATGACAGTGTCCTCACATGCATGATACTGTCCTCACATGCATGACAGTGTCCTCACATGCATGATAGTGTCCTCACAATGCATGACAGTGTCCTCACATGCATGACAGTGTCCTCACATGCATGATAGTGTCCTCACATGCATGACAGTGTCCTCACATGCATGACAGTGTTCTCACATGCATGACAGTGTCCTCACATGCATGACAGTGTCCTCACATGCATGATAGTGTCCTCACATGCATGATAGTGTCCTCACATGCATGACAGTGTTCTCACATGCATGACAGTGTCCTCACATGCATGACAGTGTTCTCACATGCATGACAGTGTCCTCACATGCATGACAGTGTCCTCACATGCATGATAGTGTCCTCACATGCATGATAGTGTCCTCACATGCATGATAGTGTCCTCACATGCATGACAGTGTTCTCACATGCATGACAGTGTCCTCACATGCATGACAGTGTCCTCACATGCATGATAGTGTCCTCACATGCATGACAGTGTTCTCACATGCATGTCAGTGTCCTCACATGCATGACAGTGTTCTCACATGCATGACAGTGTTCTCACATGCATGACAGTGTCCTCACATGCATGACAGTGTCCTCACATGCATGACAGTGTCCTCACATGCATGACAGTGTCCTCACATGCATGACAGTGTCCTTACATGCATGACAGTGTTCTCACATGCATGACAGTGTTCTCACATGCATGACAGTGTCCTCACATGCATGACAGTGGTCTCACATGCATGACAGTGTTCTCACATGCATGACAGTGTCCTCACATGCATGACAATGTCCTCACATGCATGACAGTGTCCTCACATGCATGACAGTGTCCTCACATGCATGACAGTGTCCTCACATGCATGACAGTGTCCTCACATGCATGACAGTGTTCTCACATGCATGACAGTGTTCTCACATGCATGACAGTGTCCTCACATGCATGACAGTGTTCTCACATGCATGACAGTGTTCTCACATGCATGACAGTGTCCTCACATGCATGACAGTGTCCTCACATGCATGACAGTGTCCTCACAATGCATGACAGTGTCCTCACATGCATGACAGTGTTCTCACATGCATGACAGTGTTCTCACATGCATGACAGTGTCCTCACATGCATGACAGTGTCCTCACATGCATGACAGTGTCCTCACATGCATGACAGTGTCCTCACATGCATGACAGTGTCCTCACATGCATGACAGTGTTCTCACATGCATGACAGTGTTCTCACATGCATGACAGTGTCCTCACATGCATGACAGTGGTCTCACATGCATGACAGTGTTCTCACATGCATGACAGTGTCCTCACATGCATGACAATGTCCTCACATGCATGACAGTGTCCTCACATGCATGACAGTGTCCTTACATGCATGACAGTGTTCTCACATGCATGACAGTGTTCTCACATGCATGACAGTGTCCTCACATGCATGACAGTGGTCTCACATGCATGACAGTGTTCTCACATGCATGACAGTGTCCTCACATGCATGACAATGTCCTCACATGCATGACAGTGTCCTCACATGCATGACAGTGTCCTCACATGCATGACAGTGTCCTCACATGCATGACAGTGTTCTCACATGCATGACAGTGTTCTCACATGCATGACAGTGTCCTCACATGCATGACAGTGTTCTCACATGCATGACAGTGTTCTCACATGCATGACAGTGTCCTCACATGCATGACAGTGTCCTCACATGCATGACAGTGTCCTCACATGCATGACAGTGTCCTCACATGCATGACAGTGTTCTCACATGCATGACAGTGTTCTCACATGCATGACAGTGTCCTCACATGCATGACAGTGTCCTCACATGCATGACAGTGTCCTCACATGCATGACAGTGTCCTCACATGCATGACAGTGTCCTCACATGCATGACAGTGTCCTCACATGCATGACAGTGTCCTCACATGCATGACAGTGTTCTCACATGCATGACAGTGTTCTCACATGCATGACAGTGTCCTCACATGCATGACAGTGTTCTCACATGCATGACAGTGTTCTCACATGCATGACAGTGTCCTCACATGCATGACAGTGTCCTCACATGCATGACAGTGTCCTCACATGCATGACAGTGTCCTCACATGCATGACAGTGTTCTCACATGCATGACAGTGTCCTCACATGCATGACAGTGTCCTCACATGCATGACAGTGTCCTCACATGCATGACAGTGTCCTCACATGCATGACAGTGTCCTCACATGCATGACAGTGTCCTCACATACATGACAGTGTTCTCACATGCATGACAGTGTTCTCACATGCATGACAGTGTCCTCACATGCATGACAGTGTCCTCACATGCATGACAGTGTCCTCACATGCATGACAGTGTCCTCACATGCATGACAGTGTTCTCACATGCATGACAGTGTCCTCACATGCATGACAGTGTCCTCACATGCATGACAGTGTCCTCACATGCATGACAGTGTCCTCACATGCATGACAGTGTCCTCACATGCATGACAGTGTCCTCACATGCATGACAGTGTCCTCACATGCATGACAGTGTTCTCACATGCATGACAGTGTCCTCACATGCATGACAGTGTCCTCACATGCATGACAGTGTCCTCACATGCATGACAGTGTCCTCACATGCATGACAGTGTCCTCACATGCATGACAGTGTCCTCACATGCATGACAGTGTCCTCACATGCATGACAGTGTCCTCACATGCATGACAGTGTCCTCACATGCATGACAGTGTCCTACACTGAAGACACTGCAAGCTTCCAGGTTTACATCAACCAAATCTTTAAATGGGCCGTAGAAAACAATATGAAGTTCAATGAAGAGAAATTTCAATTACTTCGATATGGAAAACATGAGAAAATTAAAACTATATCAGAGTTTTCACCACACAATAGAGCGAAAAACTAATGTAAAAGACCTGGGAGTGATCATGTCAGAGAATCTCACTTTCAAAGGTCACAACATTGTATCAATCGCATCAGCTAGAAAAATGACAGGATGGGTAATGAGAACCTTCAAAACTAGGGATGCCAAGCCCATGATAACACTTTTCATGTCTCTTATTCTATCTAGGCTGGAATATTGCTGCACACTAACAGCGCCTTTCAAGGCAGGTGAAATTGCTGACGTAGAAAATGTACAGAGAACCTTCACGGCAGATATAAGTACGATAAAACACCTAAATTACTGGGAACGGTTGAAGTTCCTCGACTTGTACTCCCTGGAACGCAGGCGGGAGAGATACATGATTATATACACTTGGAAAATCCTAGAGGGATTAGTACCAGATTTGCACACGAAAATCACTCCCTAGGAAAGCAAAAGATTCAGAAGGCGATGCAACATTCCCCCAATGAAAAGCAGGGGCGCCACAAGCACGATAAGAAACAACACAATAAGTGTCAGGGGCCAAAGACTGTTTAACTGCCTCCCAGCATACATATGGGGGATTACCAATAGACCCCTGTCTTCAAAAAGGTTCTGGACAGGCAACTAAAGTCAGTACCTGACCAGCCGGGCTGTGGTTTGTACGTTGGTTTACGTGCGGCCAACAGTAACAGCCTAGTTGATCAGGCCCTGATCCACCATGAGGCTTGGTCACAGACTGGGCCAGGAGAGCGTTGACCCCCGAGTATACCTGGAGTATACCTTCTCCAGGTAGACTCCAGATATACTCTCACCGGGAGACAAGTGGTCTATCACTGCGAGAGAATTACCTACATTTTCTAAATTCTGAAATCACTGTAACTCAGAATGGCTTTAAAAGGCGTGGAAGTGACAGCACAACTACTTCTGTCAAGACTCAGTGTTATCCTTAAGTTTAGAAAGACACCTGAGGTGGTTGTTTACCTGTCCTGGGCAGGTAGACGGGGTGTGTCGTCACTTTAATGGCCTTCACTGGAGTGTTCCGGCTCCCAGCTTACATCTGCATCTCTGAAGGAAAACTGAATTTGTATCTTAGCATTTGAGAGATGCAGAGTAAAATCACTTTCGTGTAATCATCCATGTCAAAGTGTAGTGAATATACTGAAAGTATAAATTTCATTTTATGGAATCAAGAATATTTTAGAATATCAGAGAAAGCAAGCTTAGGAATAGGTCATTATTAAATTGATATGTTTAGGTTAGGTCAGGTTCGTCAGGAAACAGTACAAGTGTTTCCTGACGCGGGTCTTAGTCATACGATGACCCACAGCTGAAGCTTTTGGTCATCTGACCGAGGCCTTCCGCTGGCTTACCGGTCCACCCCCTTTAAAAATTATGGTCATGGATATGTAATCACAACATGAATGTATATAATTAAAACATAGGTAAGAAATCACAACATGGAAATTTACAATTGTCTGCTCGGTAGATAAGAGAATAAAGGTATTTATAATACCTATAGATAATGTATACTGGTATACACCTAAAGATGTGTATCTCTCAATGTCGATAAGCGGAGAGTTTACTATAATTCCTGTGCCATAGACCAGAGTCCCTCCCTTGAGAGGAGCGCCTTCATGTTGGCGTTGGCAATGGGCTCCTGATTCAAGGCACTGGAGCCACTCTCCACATGGCTAACTCCTATATCCCTGACGATGTGAAACCCTTACGGGTTTCTACCTTTTGACAACCTGTTGATCAACCATCTTTTTTTCCACAACTTTTATAATACTGACATAAAGTTCTTAACATTCGTTACTGCTGGATGTCAATAATAAAAGCGCATTTACTTTACCTTCAGCTGTTAGAAAAGAAAACAAATATACATTTATTATTGTCATCTAGCTATAATGAATGTTAACAAAATTATGTCAGTATCCACAGTGGAAAAATACTTAAACTTTGTCTATTGTAAATAAGACATAAATAACTTAAACTTATTTAAATTCAAACGTACCTTGCTGAAATATAAAGTAATAAATATATAATTCATAACTACATATAAGCTGCACTGTAATGTTTTTGTGACTGAATTTATGTTTGTATAAATAACTCATTACGACTGTAACCAGATACTATAAACATGTAAATAGTTTATTATCAAAACTGCCACTCACTTCCTGGACACATTATAATGCCTCTGTAATCTTTTAACTACCTCACACACCATGGATATAGGGGTGTACCATGGGTATGGGGTGTACCATGGGTATGGGGTGTACCATGGGCATGGGGTGTACCACTTGTATGGTGTGTACCATGGGTATGGGGGTTCCATGGGTATGGGGTGTACCATGGGTATGGGGGTGTTTTACCTGGAGACCTGGAGAGAGTTCCGGGGGTCAACGCCCCCGCGGCCCGGTCTGTGACCAGGCCTCCTGGTCACATGGGTATGGGGTGTACCATGGGTATGGGGTGTACCATGGGTATGGGGGTGTAGCATGGGTATGGGGGTGTACCATGGGTATGGGGTGTACCATGGGTATGGGGTGTACCATGGGTATGGGGTGTACCATGGGTATGGGGGTGTATAATAAGATATTAAACTAACTTTCCCTTCTGTTTCAGCGAGCAACGCACAAACTCATGAATTAATTATTTTTCAAAAATTTCTTTAGTACATAACAGCTCACTTGGAAGACAAACAACACTGGAAACTTTTGTATTCTAATAATATTCGTTTTACTCACATGGTTACGCGCAATTCACTGCTTTTTTTTATATCGTAATGACTCAGATTTTAGAACATAAGAACATAAGAACGAAGGAACACTGCAGAAGGCCTACTGGCCCATGCGAGGCAGGTCCAAGTCTCCTACCGGCTTAAGCCAAAGCACCCAACCTAACAGGTCAGGTCACATTGACTTAAGGGAGGAACACGGCAACCGACCTGTTAGCACAAGCTATCAGGTCTAACTCACACCCACCCACATCTACTCATGTATTTATCCAACCTATTTTTAAAGCTACACAACGTTCTGGCCTCTATAACGGTACTTGGGAGTTTGTTCCACTCATCCACAACTCTATTACCAAACCAGTACTTTCCTATATCCTTCCTGAATCTGAATTTTTCCAACTTAAAACCATTGCTGCGAGTCCTGTCTAGGCTAGATATTTTCAGCACACTATTTACATCCCCTTTATTTATTCCTGTCTTCCACTTATACACCTCAATCATATCCCCCCTAATTCTACGTCTTTCCAGAGAGTGCAGTTTCAGGGCCCTTAGTCTATCCTCATAGGGAAGGTTTCTGATACATGGGATCATCTTTGTCATCCTCCTTTGTACATTTTCCAGAGAATTTATATCCATTCTGTAATACGGTGACCAAAACTGTGCAGCATAATCTAAATGAGGCCTAACCAAGGATGTATAGAGTTGAAGAACAACCTGAGGACTCCTATTATTTATGCTTCTTGATATGAAGCCAAGGATTCTATTAGCTTTATTGCGAACACTTATGCACTGTTGTCTTGGCTTCAGATTACTGCTAACCAGAACTCCTAATCTTTTTCGCAATCCGTAATATTAGATCTACATTATTTAGTTTATATTTTGGCATGGTTATTGTCCTGTCCAACATTTAGAACTTTGCATTTGTCTATTTTAAACTGCATCTGCCACTTCTCCCGACCACTGCATCAGTCTATTCAAATCTTCCGGAGTGCTCGAATGTCCTCGTCAGAATGAATTCGACGGCCTATTTGTGTCATCGGCAAACTTGCCGATGTCGCCTTTATGCCCTCATCTATGTCGTTTATGTAGATTTTTGAACAGCGGGGGGCCCAACACTGACCCCTGTGGAACACCGCTCGAAACGCTTCCCCACTCTGATTTCTCCCCATTTATGCAAACTCTCTGCTGCCTATTTTCAACCATGCCTCTATCCAGGAAAAAATTTCTCCTCCTATTCCATGTGCTTAATTTCCTCAATAGTCTCTGAGTGGACCCTGTCAAAGCCTTACTGAAGTCCATATACACAATATCATATTCATTACCATGATCTACCTCCTCAAATACCTTTAGTGAAAAAAGTTAATAAATTCGTAAGGCAGGAACGCCCCTTTGTAAAACCATGTTGAGATTCGTTGATTAATTTATGCTTTTAAAGGGTGCTACGAACTGCCTCGGAAATTTATTGTTTTCCATAAATTTTCCCACTATGGGGGTTAGGCTTATTGGTCTATAGTTCGAAGCTAAGACCTGTCACCTGTTTTGAAATAGGTATCACATTTGCCATTTTCCACTTACTGGCACCATGCCATTTTTGTATGATATGTTGAAAAGATTACCCAAAAGGGTGTGCTAAGCTCCTCTTTACATTCCTTTAGAACCCTTGCATACATTCATCAGGGCCTGGGGATTTTTGGGTTTTAATTTACTTTTTGCCTAAGGACCATGTCACTTGTGACCCTAATGGTGCACAGTTTATTATCGTCCTGTTCTACATAATTATCATTACTGGAATATCGCTGGTATCCTCCTGTGTAAAAACTGAGAGGAAGTATGTGTTAAAAATTCTACACATTCCTTATCACTGTCAGTGAGCTGACCCGAACTTTTGAGTGGGCCTATCTTGTCCCTGATCTTACTTCTGTATACCTGAAAGAATCCTTTTGGGTTAGCCCTTCGATTCTCTTGCAACTTTAACCTCATAATCTCTTTTGCTTTTCAATTCCCTTTTTTATTTCTCTCTTTAACTGAATATATCGATTTCTTAATTGCCCCTCTCCTCTTTGATTTGCCTATATATTTCCTCTCTTTTGACCATCAGATATTTTAATCTATTGTTCATCCATTTAGGATCAATTTTGTTTGATCTGATTTCCCTATTTGGAACATAATTTGACTGAGCAGCTAGAACTATGCCCTGGAAAGCATCATATCGGCAACCATCACCACCTACCTGACCCTTAGTCAGGTCATTCCAGTTCAGCCCACCTAAGTAATTTTTCAGTCCTATGAAATCAGCCAAGCGAAAGTCAGGGACGGAGACTAGATTGCCATTATTAGGGGAATTCCATGATATGTTAAAACTGAGTGATTTGTGATCACTCTCCCCAAGCTCATCATTAACCTCAAGATTATTAATTAGTGTTTCCCTACTGGCAAGAACCAAGTCAAGGAGGTTATTTCCCCTAGTTGGCTCTGTCACAAACTGTTTTTAAAAAGCAATCCTGGATCGTATCAAGAAAGTCACCCGACTCAAAATTTCCTGTCAAATTGCTCCAGTCAATCTGTCTATAGTTGAAATCTCCCATTAGCACAACATTTTCGTATGTAGATGCCTTACGAATTTCGTCCCATAGAAGTTTACTGCACTCCCTATCAAGATTTGGGGCCCTGTAAATCACACCCAAAATTAGTTTTTCTCGGCCCTCGAGAAGCTGTAACCAAACAGATTCAGTGGCTGACGCTTCTAATTTAATATCTTGTCTAACACAACAATTTAAATTGTCTCTGACATACATCGCTACTCCACCACCTTTCCTGTTGACCCTGTCAGTGTGGAATAATTTATAGCCTTGTATGTGACATTCAGAGGGCATCTCTCTATTTTTCAGATTGAGCCAGGTCTCTGTTATAGCAATAATATCTATGTTTCCTGCACTTGCAATTAATCTTAGCTCATCTATCTTATTTCTAACACTCCTGCTATTAGTATAGTAAACCTTAAGGGAGCTAGTCCCTTGCTGCCCTCTGCTGTCCCCCTTTGTTTGCTGACCTGTTCTATTGTCTTTATTTATAACTTCATGCTGAATGCCTTTTATACATTTACTGTTTCCAACCCTAGTGTTGCAACCTGCTTGTTTCCCACACACACCCATACCTCTATCTTCCATCAGTTTAAAATCATAGGCATTTCACCAATGGCCTTCTCAATCGAGTCTGCAAGTGCTACCACCCCTGCCCCAGAGAGATGTACCCCATCCCTTGCATACATATCATGTTTGCCATAAAAGTTGTTCCAGTTGTCAATGAATGGGATTGCAAGTTCCTTGCAGTATCTGTCTAGCCAGCAATTTACACCAATTGCCCTAGACAACCATTCATTTCCTACCCCCTTCTAGGCAAGATGCTACATATGATTGGGATCCCTCCCTTAGACTTAATGAAATCTATAGCTGACCTGTACTTATCTAGCAGCTCTTCTCTCCTACCCTTCCCAATATCATTTCCACCAGCACTGAGACAGATAATGGGCTTGT